TGAGCAGGATGTGAGAAGTACCATTACTGAAAGAAGTGAGTTGACAGCAGAAAGGAAATACTTGTCCTGGGCTGGAATGGGCATGTGTTAATCCTCCAGGGAGGAGATGGATCGGCGCCTTTTCTGCGGTAGGGAGTATGTTGTGCCTCCTTGGAACGAAGATGGTGAGCGGGGCCCTGCATCCATGGGCAACGAATGCTTTTGGGTTTGCTTCAGCTGAGGATCTGGCCAGAAATGGCTTCTTTGGCTCATGCCTTCTACAGGTTTGTCCCAATAACGGCATGTCAGCTTTGGGTGCAGAGTCTACCTGGCTGCAGCTGTGCTGGCAAAACTGCTCGGTGCAGTGCCAGGAGGAGAGGAAGGTCTGGTCTGCGCTGCCGAGTGCGGTACTCTCCTCTGGAGATATCATCCATAAGCTGCTTGGACCTGCTCCACCAGCATCCCAGCTTCGCTGAGTGCCTATGAGCTGTGCTGGACCATGGGCCTTGGTCCTCTGCCTCCCTGCTGTGGAGGCAGTCTGCCTGGCAGGCTCTGCTTCCCCTTTGTAAGTGGGGAACATGTTCGTTTTTTTTTTTTCCTGATGCTGTAAGTAATTTGTTGGTGGAAAAAACTTATATTCCTGCATAGTTATAAAAATGCTTCTGAGTCAGAGTTACCCAGTCCTGATTTGAAATTTGGCCAGAGCACTGTAGATGATTCTCCTTTCATCCTATCTTTTTTAGTATAGCTAAAGCATTATTTTAAAAAAAGCAAAAGCCACTTTCTAATATGAGTGCAGCCCATCAGAGATGCTGGGAATATCGTCAGTCACTGCAGCCTTCGGCTTAAACTTTCTGAGCAAAGTGGGGCTGAGCAGAGGATGCACTTAATGCTATTGCCCATCCTTTGGGGAGCTGCTCATGCTCAGGCGCTTCCTCCCCTTCTGTCCCTGCTGACGCTGTGCCCAGTGATAAGTAGGTGGTTTGGGGTCCTTGTGAGCCGGGTGCAGCACCAGAGCAACTGCCCTGTGTGATGGGCTTCCTGCCTGCAAGAGAAGAGCTGTGCAAAGGATTGCAGTAGATGCATGGTGGCTCTGTTGGCCTCAGGTCCATCAAGCCTGATTCAAAACACCTTGAAGCTCAGAGGAAGAGCAGGCAGGGGGTTTGGATCAAATCAGCCTGATCCCAGCTGCAGGAAGCAAATTTCTGTGACTGAGGACTGATTATCTGCAGCAGTGGGAAGACAATGTGTGCTTTTGGCCCTAGCTAAATGCAGTGGTGTAGGACCCAGGCGGAGGGGGAGATGGGTGTGCATTGCACAGGTAGTGCACAGCCGTTTGGACTGCAGTGAAACGCACATAACCGCTAGATGGCAATCCTGGCATGGTGAGAAGCGTTTTCGGAGGCATGCCTGCCTGTCTGGATTTATGGAGAGGTGGCAAGGACCACCCCTTGCCTTGTTCATCGCGATCCCTCCCTGCGATGCTGCAAAGCCCCTGGGCAGCGAAGAGCACGGAGGGTTTAACATGGTGGGACGTGCATGGCTTTGCAGTCTAGCGGGGCTTGGAGCGAATCTCAGCTGCCCGACTCTGGTTTCTCGGGCTGTGCTGCCAGAAGTGCTGCAGTAATGCTTGAGGTGCCCCAGTATCGCAGCCGCTGGTGATGCTCTGGGGCTGGGCCCTGCTCTGGGAAGCAGTAGCCCGTTTCCATTGCTGCTGGCAGTGTGGGGCTGGCCCCGCTGTACGGGGTATCAGCGTAGCTGGGGAGAAAAAGCAAGGAGGGGACCTGTATTCCCGTACTGCACTGCTCCAGCCCAGCATGGGGAGAGGAATTAGCCCTCCTCTCTAAAAGATAGATCTACCCAAGCTCCTTCCTGTCCCAACACCCCTAACTGCCCTATCTTCTTGGATTTCCTTTGTTCACAAAAAAACATAGCTGGCTCTGAATTTCTTTGCCATGTTGAATCATGTAAGCATCAGCCACGCTTCTCCCTGACTCACGCATCCCAGCGCGCTAGGGTGAGGGTCAGGACGAGAATGGCAATAAACATCCTGGGAAATAGAGCCTGTGTCTCTTGGCATAGCTGGGACCTTTTTGCTTTCAATCTTCTCTTGTGGAGCTCCCCTCTCATAAATATCCCATCCTTTAACACTGGCTGAGCAGGGGAGAGGCTCACAGCCGGGGCGGCCTGCGCTTGTGCTTGCAGCAGTGAATATAAACCAGAGAAGAGGGCAAAGCCCGGCCGGCGCCGGGAGCGGGGAATACCGTGCTGCCCCAGAAGCGGAGGCATCCAGGTAAGATGCACCTCTTTGTTTTGAGGAGGGAAGAAAAACACTACATCTTCCTTGTCAGGCCTCCACCTCAGCCCCTTACACCTCTCTGGAGGCAGGAGCCTGCTGTGGTGCCCCTGAGCCGGTCAGGGAGGGCGATGGCCTGAGTGGGGATGCCCGGGCAGATGCTTGGCTGTGGGTCCAGGTGAACAGAGCAGCCTCGATGGGACTTTGCTGCGGCCCTCCAAGCCTTTTCTGTTTCCAGAGCTGGGAGCTTTGTGGGGCTGAGGATCTGCTCCTGGCAACCTGCTAGGCTCCAGGCTTAATTAACAGAGGCTTAACGGGTGGAAAAGGTCTGTCCAGCCACATGGGTGCACTTGCTGAGAAAGCTCACTGACCAGATAAAAGTTTGTTTTTTTTTTTTTTTCAGAGCAAGGTCCTGGGGTCCCCTGACCTCTGCCGTGCAGGGGTCTGCTCTGCGCCCCACTGCAGCGTGGTGGTGGTGTAGCTGGTGAGGGTATAACCAGGGGGTTCAACAAACCCCATCTGCTATAAAGCTTCTCAAAGGAGCAAAGGCAACGAGAGACCCCGCAGATGGGCATCTTGGAGCGGGTGGGCTCTTGGTGTCTGGCTGAGTTTGGAGGGAATCATCCTGCAACATTTTACAAATACTCCTCTGTTATCCTACTGAAAAGGGCCTGATCCTTCGTGCTCCTCACCCAGCCGGTCCCAGCGCTCCAAGCAATGTCCAAAAAGTCAAGAAGTGAGCCCTGCCACCGTGGCCTTCAGTTATGTTAGCGCCTGCAGAGCGGGGAAGTCTGCTGGATGCTGTCAGGCTGCACACCAGACGAGTTGCCCTTTACGGGGTTAAGGGCTTGGTTTTTTGGAGTACTCTGGAGCGTTTGTGGCTGGGGGCCCGCAGCTGTGGGGCCTGGGGCGAGCAGTAGCTGCTGTGCTTGCAGGCAGGTTGCTGCTGTTGAGGTGGGCTGGG